TTGCGTGCTTCTTTTTCCGCTTTTTCTTCTGCTGCTTCGCTGCCGCAGCAGCAGAAACAGCTGCTGCTGCTGCTGCTGCTGCATCTTCGCAGCTGCCACTGCGCCGGCGAGGCGGCAGGGCATGTGCAGCAGCAGCAGCAGCTGCTGTAGTTGCTGCTTGTGTTGCTGCTGCATCTGTCTCAACTATGGAGAGATCTGCTGCTGCTGCTGCTCTCTTTTTCATTTGTCTCTTACTTTTGGCTTTAGTGCAATCCTGCTGCTGTTCGTGCTGCTGCTGCTGCTGCTCATCTTGCTGCTGCTGCTGCTGCTGCAGCCACATGCGCTGCAGAGGCTCGTCAGCTGCTGCTGCTTCTGCTGCTGCTGCTGCTGCTGCTGCAGCATCTGAGTTGGCTCTTGATCGACCAGCCTTCTTCTTTGGTCGTTCCTGCTGCTGCTGCTGCAGCAGCATCAGCAGCTTTTGCTGCTTCCTTCTGCTGCTGCTGAGTGGGCCGTGCACACTCTCATGGCGCTGCAGACGCTGCTGCTTCTGTTTAGGAGCAGCAGCAGCAACAGCAGCGGAGTCAGCTTCAGCAGCAGCTGCTGCTAGTTTCTTTTTCTTTCTCTTTACAACAGTGTTCCGCAGCAGGGCCTCTGACTCCTGCTGCTGCAGCGTCTGCTGCTGCAGCTCCTGCTGCTGCTGTTCCCGGTGGTGCTCCTCTTGCTGCTGCAGCGACACCTCTTGCTGCTGCTGCTGCCAGACTGCAGCATGGGCGCTGCGCCGTTTTTGGCGCTTCGAAGAGCTGCCGCTGCTTTCGGGTGCACGAACTTCAAACGCAGCAGCAGCAGCAGGGTCTTTTGCTGCTGCTGCTGCTGCTGCTGCTGCTGCCGATTCAGAAGGCATCAACTCCTCCATGGAATCTTCTGGAGCTTCTGTTGCTGTTTCTGTTGCTGCTGCTTCTGCTGCTTCCTCTTCTTCACTGGTTGCTGCTGCTTCTGCTGCTTCTTCTTCATTTGCTGCTGCTGCTTCTGTTGCTTCGTCTTCCTCATGTGCTGCCGCTGCTTCTGCTGCCTCCTCTTCCTCATCTGTTGCTGCTGCTTCTGCTGCTTCCTCTTTCTCATCTGCTGCTGCTGCGTCTGCTGCTTCGTCTTCTTCATCTTCTGCGGTTGCGTGTGCTGCATCTTCGTCTTCACCTGCTGCTGCTGCTGCTTCCTCGTCTTCATCTGCTGCTTCTGCTGCTTCCTCCTCTTCATCTGCTGCTGCTGTTGCTTCCTCCCCTTCATCATTTGCTGCTGCTGCTGCTTCCTCCTCTTCATCTGCTGACTGCTGTTCCAAATCAGAGGTCCATTCGCCCTGCTGCTGCTGCTGTTGCTGCAGCTGCTGCAGCAGCAGCGCCCTCTCAGCATCTTCACCGTGCTGCTCCTCCTGCAGCAGCAGCAGCTGGACCTCAGAATCTCCATTCTCTGAGTAGGCTTCAGCAGCAGCAGCAGCAGCAGCGTGCTCTGCTGCTGCTGCTGCGTGGGGATCGAACGATCCCAGCAGCAGCGACGGCGACGCTGGAGTGTCTGCTGAAGAAGCAACTGATATACTGTCTGCAGCAGCAGCAGCAGCAGCTGCTGCTGCTGCTGCAGCAGCAGGCACTCTTTGGTCCTCGCTGCTGCTGCTGGCTTCAGTGTCGCTGCTGTACATACGCCAGCCATCAGGCGCTGTTGCTTCTGGAAACAGCAGCAGCAGTTCCTGCTGCTGCTGCTGCTGCTTTATCTTCTCGAGTTGCTGTTGCTGCTGCTGCTGCTTGCAGCAACAGTGCTGCTTGCAGCGCTGCCTCATTTGTAGCATTTGTTCGAGCTGCTGCTGCTGCTCTTGCTGTTGTTGCTCTTGCTGCTGCTGCTCTTGACGTTGCTGCTCTTGCTGCTGCTGCTGCAGCTTCTCCATCCTTCGCTTATGCCGCTGCTCCCGCTTCAGGGCACTTTGCTGCAGCAGCAACTCGCCTGCGTCAGCGGCAGGTGCAGCAGCAACAGCAGCAGAAGTACTGTTTTCATACAGCTGCTGCTTCCCCGGGTCTGAAGAGCTGCGCCTCTGCTGCTGCTTCACCCGCCTGCGATGGCAGACGTCGACTTGCTGCTGCTGCTGCTGCTGCTGCAGCTCCTGCTGCTCTTGATGCTGCAGCAGCTGCTGTTGCTGCTGCGGCGGCTGCTCTTCGTCGCTCTGCTGCTGCCGCTTAATTGGGGAAGTTTTGTGCCCACGTCTCTCTTGCTGCTTCCGGGCTGCTGCACCGTCAGTAACAGCGGCAGCAGCAGCAGCAGCAGCAGAATGAGACTCGTACGTTTGCTCGGCGCTGCTGCGTTCTTGCATGCGCTGCTCCAGAGCCAGCAGCAGCAGCTGCTGCTGCTGCAGCATTTGCTGTGTCTGTAAGATGGTTTGCTGCATCTGCTGCAGCTGCTGCCGCAGCAGCCGCTTTTCCCCAGAGTCGCTGCTGCTCCTGCTGCTGCTGCTGCTGCTCCTGCTGCTGCTGCGCCGCTTCCTGCGGCGGCTCTTCTTCCTTCCTGTCTCTACTGTCAGTGCTGCTGACGTGCTGCTTGTTGCAGTTGTTGCTGCTGCTGCTGCTGCTGTATATTTCGTGGAAAGTGCCTCTGTGTCCGACACATGCTGCTGCTGCTGCTGCTGCTGCTGCTGCATTCCTTGAGGAAACGAGAGGGCCTCCTGTCCCTGCAGCAGGAAATAAGGCCCTTCTTCTTCCTCCTCTTGCTGCGGCTGCTGTTGCTGCTGCTGCTGCTGCCAGTCGGGTTCAAAGCCTCCAGCAACAGTGTGCCGTCGGTGCATGCGCTGCTGCTGCCGCTGCTGCTGCTGCTGTTGCTGCGGAATGCCGATGGCTGCTTGCGCGCTGGACCGGCCCCTCACACCCTGCTGCCGCTGCTGCTGCTGCTGCAGCTGCTGCTGCTGGTTTTCTGGCAGCAGCGCCACAGGGGCTGAGGTGAGAGAGGCAGCCGATAGCAGCGGAGGCGAAACCGCTTCTGCTTCTGCTGCTGCTGCTGCTGCTGCTGCTGTTTGCTGCAGCGGCTGCTCAGGCAGACACACAGCCAAAGGAGAAGCAGGAGGTGGCCTGTAGCTGCTGTGCTGCAGCATCGCCTCCAGTCTGCTGCTGCTGCTCTGCTGCTGCAGCTGCTGCGGTGCAGCAGCAGGCAGCACGCGCAGATCCGATGGCCCCAGAGAGGCTTCCTGCAGCACAAACCCTAAACCCTAAACCCTAAACCCTAAACCCTGAGACCGAAACCCTAAACCCTTAACCCTAAACTTTTAGTCCACGGTCTGATTTGACCCAGCAAGAGTATAAAGCATTTTCAAGCCCCAAATCCTACACCCTAAACCCTAAAGCCCCAAACCCTAAACCCTAAACCCTAGCGAACCCCTGAGCAATTCATGTCAGAGAGAATTTGGTCAGTAACGGCTTCGCTAGAAGCAAGGAGGGTTTGCGGCAGCTGCATGAGACGGTGGTGCTGCTGCTGCTGCTGCTGCGGGTGCAGCAGTAGCTCGTCGTCGCTGCTGCCGCTGCCAGCAGCAAACCAAGCAGCAGCAGCATGCTTTTTCCGCATGTGCTTTCTCCGCTTTAGGAAGAAGCGCTTGCTGCTGCTGCTGTTCTGCTGCTGCTGCTCCTCATAGTCTGAATTGCTGCTGCTGCTCCTGCTGCTGCTGCTGCTCATCCAGTCCTGCACCCCTGGCTCTGAATCGCTGTCGCTGCTGAAGTTGTTGGTATCATCATCGCTGCTGTCTGCTGCTGCTGCTGCTGCTGCTGCTGCTGTTTCTGCTGCCGCTTCTGCTGCACCCGCCTGGGCCCGAGCTACTTCGTCCGCCTGCTCTGCTGCTGCTGCGGCTGCAGCTGCTGCTGCTGCTGTCATTGCTGCTGCTGCTGCTGCGGATGCCTCAGCAGCACGAACGCCCTGAGCTGCAGCAACGGGCAGCAGTTTTGCTGCTTCGGCGGTCGCCTGCTCAGCTGCTACTGCTGCTGCTGCTGCTGCTTCTGCTCGAGCAGCAGCAGCAGCTGCTGCTGCTGTTGCTGCCTTCACCGTATCTCCTTCTGCTGCTGCTTTGGCTGAGTCTGCCGCTGCAGCGGCAGCAGCAGCCCGCCCCCGTGCTGCCTAAGCAAGCAACAAATCCAAGCCGCAAACCCCAAACCCTAAACCCTCAAACTAACCCTTGCCGCCTTTGCTGCTGCTGCTGCTTACCTCTTTAGTTGTCTCCACGCAATCGAAGCCGACAAAGTCCTCCAGAGACCGAACGCCCATATCCTGAGCCCAAACCCTAAAGCCTAAACCCTAAACCCTAAACCCTAAACCCTAAACCCAAAGCCGTGAAATTCGAAAGCCTAAACCCTACGCCAAAACGTTTCAATTCGAAAACCCTCCGAAAGCAGAGAGGTTCACAATTTAGTGTTTGGACTTTAGGGTTTAGGCTCAGGGTTTAGGGTTTAGGTTTAGGGTGTATACCTCAGGTTCTTGCTGCCGCTGCAACTCCTCATCTTGCGCGATGCTCAAGCCTTCTGCGTCTCCTTTCTGCTGCTGTTGCTGCTGTTGCTGCTGCTGCTGTTGCAACTGCAGCTGCTGCTGTTGCTGCTGCTGCTGTTGCTGCTGCTGGTCAGAAGCAAGCGGCTCACAAATCGACGCCTGCGCAGCCAAACAACCGCAAACCGTAAACCCTAAACCCTTAATTGAAAACCCTAAACCCTAAACCCTAAATTGTAAACCCTAAACCATAATGCCTTCTAGCTCTTACAGGCGCAGTTGTGGAGACTGGAGAAAGCGGGCAGCTGGCAGCAGCTTCTGTAGCTGCTGCGCTGTCCAGGGCGCAGCTGCTGCTGCTGGTGCTGCTGCTGCCCTGCCACTGCTGCAGCAGCTGCTGCAGTTCTTGCTCCAGGTTGCGGCAGCTTTGTAGGACGTATTCGAGGTGCTGCAGCTGGTGGGGTTTGTGTTGCTGTTGCTGCTGTCGCTGCTGCAGCAGCAGCTGTTGCTGCTGCTGCAGCAGCTCCTGCTGCTGCCTGTGGAGCTGCTGCAGCAGCACCGTGGCCTGCTTGATCTGGTGCTGCCTGTGCTGCTGCTGCTGCTGCTGCTGCTCCATTGCTGCTGCTTCTACGTGCTTCCATTCTCTGTACTTGTTTGTAATAAAACGCTGCGAATGGCGCAGCCTATAAGGGTCAAAGGGAAAGAAAGCATCTAAAGGGTCTGCTGTTGCTGCTGCTG